TCTTGGACATATATAGCACAAGAGTCACTCACAAGCACAAGAGTCACTCACACGAACGTTTATATTCGAGACCAAGTGGAGAATCTGGAGGCAGCTCATAAAGGGGAGGGGGGGACTGTCAGGCCCTGGATAACTTGCTGGTGGCACTGTGGTTCCCAGAGCGGTGGCCATCAGCGGGTGTCTCCCAACAGCCAGCAGATCCCAGTAATTAGGCTTCACCTGATTCTGGCTACTGGGAAAGTATATAATTGGTATATAATCCCTCACTTAACTACCTTAAGTGTGCCTTAATATTCTGCCTGTGATTCATTTCCATGCTTGAACCTGTATCCTGTGTCCTGTACAGTGGTGTATTTTGGTTTTGTGCTGCCCTAGGCAAGACTAAAATCGGTCACCACCCCCCCGCATCTAAATTTGTCCCACCCTTTTATCTAAGAACCCCACCCCTTCTTTTCTAGGATCCACCTCTTCCTATTAGAGCTCCGCCCACTGACAACGATGGGGCGCTATTCCTCCCACTGAAACCAATGATGGGGCACTATTCTTCCCACTGACACCAATGATGGTGTCCCATCATTAGTGTCAGTGGTGGAGGAATAGTGCCCCATCACTGGTGTCAGTGGAAGGAATAGTGCCCCATTGTTGGTGTCAGTGGGAGGAATCGTGCCCCATCGTTGGTGTCAGTGGAGGAATCGTGCCCCATCGTTGGTGTCAGGGGGAGGAATTGTGCCCCATCATTGGTGTCAGGGGAGGAATAGTGCCCCATCATTGGTGTCAGTGGAAGGAATAGTGCCCCATTGTTGGTGTCAGTGGGGAGGAATCGTGCCCCATCGTTGGTGTCAGTGGGAGGAATCGTGCCCCATCATTGGTGTCAGGGGGAGGAATTGTGCCCCATCGTTGGTGTCAGTGGGAGGAATAGTGCCCCATCATTGGTTTCAATGGGAGGAATAGTGCCCCATCATTGGTGTCAGTGGGAGGAATAGTGCCCCATCATTGGTATCAGGGGGAGGAATAGTGCCCCATCATTGGTGTCAGTGGGAGGAATAGTGCCCCATCATTGGTGTCAGTGGGAGGAATCGTGCCCCATCATTGGTGTCAGGGGGCGGAATAGTGCCCCATCATTGGTGTCAGTGGGAGGAATCGTGCCCCATCATTGGTGTCAGGGGGAGGAATAGTGCCCCATCATTGGTGTCAGTGGGAGGAATCGTGCCCCATCATTGGTGTCAGTGGGAGGAATCGTGCCCATCATTGGTTTCAGTGGGAGGAATAGCACCCCATCATTGGTGTCAGTGAGAGGAATAGTGCCCGTCATTGGTGTCAGTGGGAGGAATAGTGCCCCATCATTGGTATCAGTGGGATGAATAGGTGATCCATCATTGGTGCCAGTGGAAGGAATAGTGCCCCATCATTGGTATCAGTGGGAGGAATAGTGCCCCATCATCATTAGTGTCAGTAGGAGAAATAGTGTCCCATCATTGGTGTCAGTGGGTGGAATAGTGCCCCATATTTGCTGTCAGTGGGAGGAAGTGCCCCATCATTGGTATCAGTGAGAGGAATAGTGCCCATTCATTGGTGTCAGTGGGAGGCCCGGAGGCCCACTTGGGACAAGTGAGGGGCAATGGGACAGGAGGAGCGCAGAGGGACAGGCAAGTGGCAGTGGGACAGGAGGAGCTCAGAGGGATAGGTAGGGGGCAGCGTGACGGGGGCATAGGACAGGATTGGGGCAGCGGGACAGGAGAAGCACAGAAGGATAGGTGAGGGGCAGTGGGACAGGAGGAGCACAGAGGGACAGGTGGGGGGCAGCATGACAGGGGTCATGGGACAGGAGCGGGGCAGCGGGACAGGAGGAGTGCAAAGGGACAGGTGAGGGGCAGTGGGACATGAGGAGCACAGAGGGACAGGTGAGGGGCAGTGGGACAGGAGGAGCACAGAGGGACAGGTGAGGTGCAGTGGGACATGAGGAGTGCAAAGGGACAGGTGAGGGGCAGTGGGACATGAGGAGCACAGAGGGACAGGTGAGGGGCAGTGGGACAGAGGGAGCGCAGTGGGACAGGTGGGGGGCAGCGTGACAGGGGCCATGGGACAGGAGCGGGGCAGCGGGACAGGAGGAGTGCAAAGGACAGGTGAGGGGCAGTGGGACATGAGGAGCACAGAGGGACAGGTGAGGGGCAGTGGGACAGAGGGAGCGCAGTGGGACAGGTGGGGGGCAGCGTGACAGGGGTCATGGGACAGGAGCGGGGCAGCGGGACAGGAGGAGTGCAAAGGGACAGGTGAGGGGCAGTGGGACATGAGGAGCACAGAGGGACAGGTGAGGGGCAGTGGGACAGGAGGAGCGCAGAGGGACAGGTGAGGGGCAGTGGGACAGAGGGAGCGCAGTGGGACAGGTGAGGGGCAGTGGGACAGGAGGAGCGCAGAGGGACAGAATGGGGGGCAGCATGACGGGGGGCATGGGACAGGATCAGGGCAGCGGGACAGGAGTAGCGCAGAGGGACAGGTGAGGGGCAGATGGACAGGAGGAGCACAGAGGGACAGATGGGGGGCAGTGGGGACAGATGGGTGGTAGTGGGACAATGTGGGGGACAGGAGGGGGAAGTGGAACAGGTGTGGGGTAGGGTGACATGTTGGGGCAGGGGGCAGTGTGATGGATGAGGGGCAGTGTATCAAGGGACAATGAGCACCAGTCCTCCAAGCACTTACCTGTCCAGCAGCGGCTCCTCCAGATGGTGTCAGGATCACCAGGTGCCTGTGTCCCTTCTCCACCAGGATCTCCGGCAGCTGCAAAGGAGCGGGCGGGCTCCGCCCCCGACCTCGTCCTCTTCTGCTTCCTCCTTCTGGCCTTCCTGCACATCCTGGCACTTACTAGTCCAGAATAAAAACTTCTACAGATGATGGCAGGCAAAATATTACTTCCCAAGATACAGGATATTTAATTAAAGAACTTTTTTTTTAATATATTATATTTTATAATATTGTATTATTTATTTTTTAAATTGTTTTTAGTTTGTTGTTTGTAATTTTTGCATGGGAGGGCCCTCATCTGTCAGGGGGCCCAGGGCAGTTGTCCTTTTTGCCCCCTTATAAATCTGGCACTGGCTATGGCAGGGTGATGCAATTGTTGGTACAAAGCATTCTGATATAGCCACTTTGCTTTATCTAAAAGGAATCTTAGCCTTTTCTCTTTCTATTTTCTGTGCACAAGCACATAATGTATTGTATAGTTGGTTCTACACATTGAACATTGATTTTCGTATTAACATTGTATAGGTAGCTTGCAATTACTTTTGTGGCCAAAACACAGTTTTACAAATATATGTGTTCAGGTAGCTTGATTAACGTTGCATGCATTACAGCAAAGTGGATGGGCTGGCTTAATGCAAAGCACACTAATAACACTAGGAATGTGCATTTATGCAACACACAGGAACAACAAAACTAGAAGTGTGCACAACGGAAAAATTTGTTTCCTTATTCAATAGGTTAGTAATTTTGTTTTGTCAAATTCGTTGTTAGAATGATTCGTTTTCAGAATTAGGCCCCATGTACACGGGGCATTTCTGAATGATGGAAACTGAGTACTGGAAAATGTAGGTTAAAAAACGTCTGTTTAGCCGCGTTTGCATAACGCATTTATGTGTGTTTGCGTTTAGAAGCGTTTTTTAAAGATAAGCACAGGAGAACCTCCCAAATGCCCAGAATGCACTGAACAGTGGTAAATTATTAACTATTTCAGACTGTTTCAGAGAAATACACACAGTAGAAGCAGAGACAGCAGTATGTGTTGAGATAATTAGGTGTGAGTTGCTCATTAACTTTTCTTTTGTTTCCAAGGGTGGGAAGGTGTCTGCTGGAGTGAGTCATTAAGGTCACCTGGCAGGGGGTCTGCATGAGGAATTTGAGATGTGAATGATCATTAACATATCTTTTGTTTCCAAGGGTGGGAAGGTGTGTGCTGGAGTGAGTCATTAAGGCCACCTGGCAGGGGTGTTCAGGAGGAATTTGAGGTGTGACTGGGCATTAACGTATCTTTTGTTTCCAAGGGTGGGAGAGGTCTGAGGTGTGAATTGGTCATTACAATGTGTGACAAGCTTGGTAGGAACATCCCCTGTTAAGTGTTTTTTCCATCTGAGCACCTTGAAAACTCTTTGCATGCATTTTTCATGATGAAAAAAGGTTCTGGACAGCATTGGGAACTGGAAGAGTTAAAAAAAATTCAAATGCAAACGCTTATAAACGCGATTTGCCACGATTAGTTGTGTTTAGCTGCATTTACCAGCGTTTTGCGTTTGAAACACTGATAAATTTGAAGTCTGAACGCAAGTTTGCTGCATTAAAAAAACGACTGTAAACTCAACTGCCTGTAAACGACTGTAAAGGAAGATGTGTACATGGACATATAAGAAAACATTAGGGTGAGTTCAGGGGCTGCTGAAAAAAAACGCTGAAGAGCTCCTAAACGTGAGTTTAGCAGCTGCAGTGTACATGAGCCCTTAGTTTTGTATATTAGAATTTATTTAGTATTATAATTTATTATTTTCACATCGATTCATAATTTGAATTCATTTGCAAATTGAAATTCATTTTTGTATTCAAATTAATTTGCAAATTCAAATTCATTTTTTAAACTTGAATTCAGATCATTTGTTTCATTAAAATTTATTTTGGATTTATTGAAATGTGTTACTATCTGAACCTCTGAATAATGAAAATTTTGTCTGAATTTCAATTCCAAACTAAACGAATCACACATGTCTACTAGAAACTCCGCTATCAGCTTGTCCCCTTAGACCAGCGGTTCTCAACCTGTGGGTCGCGACCCCTTTGGGGGTCAAACAACCCTTTCACAGGGGTCTCCTAAGACCATCGGAAAACACATATTTCCGATGGTCTTAGGAACCGAGACACCGCTCCTCTATCAGTCTCCAGGCGGGTCTGCCCATATGCAGATACGTCCACATTTCCCTGGACCGCGATGTGTGCGCGGGACGACATGCCGCCCCTGTCATCTGGCCACATCCCCAGGATCACTCAACAGCTCCGCCTCCTCGCCAGTGATTGGCCGCCAGAACTGTAGCTCAGGAGAGGCACACAGGCGGCCAATCACCGGTGAGGATGTGGAGCTTGGAGAGGAGGAGGCGAGCAGCAGCGCAAAGAGCAAAGAAGATCGAGCGAGGGAGCGGCCGGAGAAGGAAGACAGATGACAGGTAAGCGTCTGTAGCGTGCAGATGATGCTGCTGCAGCCAGGTATGCTGGCTGTAGATGGGAGAGGGAGGGAGCGAGCCCAGGCTGGTAAGCATTGGGAGGAGGAATAGTGCCCCATCATTGGTGTCATTAATACCAATGATGGGGCACTATTCCTCCCACTGACACCAATGATGGGGCACTATTTCCTCCCCCCCCCCACTGACACCAACGATGGGGAACTATTCCTCCCCCCACTGACACCAACGATGGGGCACTGTTCCTCCCCCCACTGACACCAACGATGGGGCACTATCCCCCCCACACTAATATCAATGATGAGGCACTATTCCCCCCCCCACTGACACCAGTGATGGGGCACTATTCCTCCCACACTGACACCAATGATGGGGCACTATTCCTCCCACTGACACCAACAATGTGGCACTATTCCTCCCACTGATACCAATGATGGGACACTATTCCTCCCACTGATACCAACGATGGGACACTATTCCTCCCACTGACATCAGTGATGAGGCACTACTCCTCTCACTAACACCAATGACGTGGCACTACTCCTCCCACTGCAAAATTACAGTTATGAAGTAGCAACGAAAATAATTTTATGGTTGGGGGTCACCACAACATGAGGAACTGTATTAAAGGGTCGCAGCATTAGGAAGGTTGAGAACCACTGGCTTAGACCATGTGTTTGCACACAGGCATGTAATCAAACTGTTACAAAGGAAGCCAAAGCAAAAGATAAATGTGTCAATAAAGTATGAACCAGTTCATTTCCACTCTCTAGTAAGTGTTGTCATTGTAACCAAAATTCCTATAGCAAAAAAGACCCCCACATATGAGGAAACAGAGGTTACTGATAATGACTAATAGTGACTGGGTAGTAGATAAAATATTTATTAAAGTATACAGTATATTCATATAAAAAATATCCATTTAGTTAACCGCTTCCGCGCCACCAGATAGCATAAATACTGCTACAGGGCGGCATGGGTGTGCAAAATCACATATATATATGTGATTTTGCATTTCCGGGTAGGGGGTGCACCCCCCTGCTATTTGCGGCCATGGCTGTCAATCACTGTGTCCTGGCCGGTAATTACTTGCCAGCACCCAGTGATTTCCGAAGATCTCCGACAGGAAGGAGGACTGTGTTGTTTACTAACAGTTCTCCTCCCTGTCAGCTCGGGCACACTGCTCTGGATGGCTGTGCACAGCACAGCCATCCAGAGCAGTGTGATTACAATGAAGCACACTGACACTGCCCCCTAGTAAAACACTTCCTTGCACACAGTTAACCCTTTGATCGCCCCTCATGTTAACCCTTTCCTGCCCAGTGCCATTAGTAGTGTCATTGCTTTTTTTTTAGCACTGATCACTGCATTGGTGTCATTGGGGATGTCAGTGACACCAAGTCAGTTCCCCCCAGTGTCAGAATGTCCGCCGCAGTCCCGAAGTCCCGCTATGAGCCGCTAATCGCCGCCATTACTAGAAAAATATAAAACAAATTCCAGTATATATAAATCGCCATTTGTAAACGCTATAACTTTCACATAAACCAATTTACACGTATTGGGATTTTTGTTTAGCAAAGACATGTAGCAGAATACATTTTGGTGTAAATTTGACAAAATTAGATTTTTTAAATTTTTTTACTGGATATGTTTAATAGCAAAAAGTCAAAAATATTGTTTTTCTCAAAATTGTCAGACTTTTTTTATCGTGCAAAAAATAAAAACTGCACAATCAAATACCACCGAAAAAAAAGCACAGTTCGTGGGAAACAATTTCATTTGGGTGCAGCGTTACATGACTGCGCAATTGTCAGTTAAAGTAACGCAGTGCCGTAACAGAACAGGTCAGGAACGGGGGTAAATCCTCAAGAGGGCAAAGGGTTAAACTATGATATAAAATGCTTCCGGCATTAAGAAAATATTTACTGGCATGGAACATGTGTTCAAAAAACACCAAACAGCAGACAAATAGACAAGTAAGAAAATATTTTAAAAACCGTCTGGACGCCCAAATCTTGTCATGCATAGAGTAATACTACAGCAGTGGCTGCATAGTCATTTACCCATACAGTATATGTAATAATGTAATCTCATATGCAAGGATATTTTGGGGGGTCAGTAACAACCACATCACAAATAATAGGCCAATATTTCTGTAACTCTAGATGAAGACTCTTCTCCTACGGCAGTTCTAAAAAGTCCCATCACTGAACATGTGGGTAAGGAGAAGCATAAATAGTATTAATTGTAAGGCTGCCAGTTCAATGAATACAGATCATGTACACAGGTGATTAGTTCCTCCTGCTGGAAGACGGATCCTCTCCAAGGGCTATACAACAAGAATGTCATCTAGTCAGGTGTATAAAGTCTTTACAGATGGTTTGGGTTAGTAAATCACAGGGTGAAATCCCTTAGCTGGTAAAGCAGACAGTGGTAGGCATTCACTATATCTGGTCTCCCACAGTACACACAACATGGAAATTCAATTATTTAAGTAAATATAAACTGCTAAATACCTTTTCTCATCAGCAGTATATAGCAGTCTTGTGACTTCTATCAGTGTCCAGCAGAACACTGATTGAAGCTTGTAGGAGTTTTCATTCTCCTGTAGGAGGATGCAGGACTCGTGACCTCTATCTGGACAGTGCTGATTGGCCCTGTGCTAATCACATGCACTCTACCAAGAAAAAAAAAAACTCTCTAGCTATACACACCAAACTGAGCATGTGCAGAGTGTCCCTGAGCCTCTGTTCTACCAGGAGATATCTAGGAGACACTGGAAGAAGGTGAGGATCAGAGAAGAGAGGATCAAACATCCTTTTTTACACAACGCAGAGGATTAACCCCTTGGGTTCCACAGTGAGTATAACAAGCGTGCATTACTGCATATACAAGCTGATTTTACTGTTGTGGGTTTAGTAACACTTTAAATGACTATGCAGCCATTCTTGCAGTATTACTCTATGCATGGCAAGATTTGGGCGTCCGGACATTTTTTAAAATATTTTCTGTCTGTCTTGTCTATTTGTCTGCTGTTTGGTGTTTTTAGAGCATGTTTCATGCCAGTAAATATTTTCTCAATGCTGGTAGCACTTTATATCATATTTTAACTAACAGATATATTTTGATAATATATTGATGAATATCTACTTTAAGATATTTTTTCTGCTACTCAGTCATTATTACAGTCATAGGTAATCTGTTTCCCCATATGTGGGGTCTTTTTATGTAATCAGACTGTATTTTGGTGCAGGACAAAGCATGTACCTTTGATAATCTAGCTATTAAACCCTCCAATTTCAGTTTCATGATTTCAGATAGTTAGGCAGGTGCATCAATGCTAGCAAGTTAAATGTTTTCTAAAACATGATTTATATGTAACTATGTTTTAAGCCCATTCCTTGGTTGAGAGCATTTCAAAATGCATAGTAATTAAAAGTGGTACCTAAAGTGTTACTAAACACAACAGTAAAATCAGTGTGTATATACTGTACTGTACATGCCTGTTATGCTCACTGTGGAACCTACAGGGCTAATCCTCTGCATTGTGTAACATGCCTGTTTTATCCTGTCTTCTCTGATCCTTCCCTTTTTTGACTGTCCCCAATCCATCTGCTGATAGTACACAGCCCTAGGAGGCACTCTGCACATGCTGAGTTTGGTGTGTATTGCTAAAGAAATATTTTTTGTTTGGGAGGGTGCATTCAATCAGCACAGGGCCAATCAGCACTGTCCAGACAAAAGGTCAGCTGTCATGCAGCCTCATAGGACAGTCAGAGGAAAACTCTTCCTGTAAGCTTTAATCAGTGCTCAGCCTGACACTGATAGAAGTCTCAAGACTGCTATATACTGCTGATGAGAAAATGCATTTGACAGTTTATATTTACCAAAATAATTGCATTTCCATGTTTTGTGTACTGTGGGAGACCAGATATAGTGAATGCAGGGCTATGGGTTTAGTGACACTTTAACAACCTCCCATTTATTTTTTTTGTTTCTCCCACTTACCTATATTGCTGCTTTAATTTTAAAACACATACTTACTCGTACAGTGAATCCAGTGAAAGCAGCAATATAGGTAATATAGGAGAGCACCACCATGTTGTTCCTCTCCAGCTGGCTGCCTCTTCCCGGTTCAAGCAGCCAGCTAATGGTGATGCCCAGGCTTGGGATCCAGCCACTTTGTGTGCCTTATCCTGCAGCCTTCTTAAATATATAATGCAAGTATCACAGAGGATAGGGCTGTAGGACCAGGAACATGTTATTTTGGCCTTGATAAAAAAGCTGGCCAGGGGAAAAAATGTTGATGAAAATTAAGCAAACAGAAAAAAAACAGCATTTCTGCTTGTAGAAGGAGCAGAGGTTTAACTGTAATGAGTTCCACTTAAAGCTGTCCAATGCCATGCTTTCTACTCCTAATGCAGTATCTTCAATACCTCTATATTGTGAAAATATAATGACTCCAATTAACCTTTTACACCAAAATGTGATATTTTGGAAATATATCACATCTCCTGCCCACTTATCAACTGTAAGGCCAGACCGTGTTATGACACAAATTGTGTTTTCATGAATACATTCCAGTGAGATGACAATTAAATCTGAATTTTTTTTGCAGGGTCCAACACATCTTTTTAATTTGATGCTCATACTACAGTTACACAAGTTTCCTCTTGTTCTATCCACGGATCTCAACATTTAGGATCAAAATGTTGCCCCTGAAACAGAATCTTTAGCGTCCTTTCACATGGGGCAGACTCCCGCTGCAATCCGTTTGCTCAGCAGGGGATCTGCCCACTGATCCCCGCTGAGTAGGCAGATGACAGGGATGTGCCTGCTCTGCCTATGCCTACAGCCTTCTCTCCTCTATGGGATGTAAACGAATAGCCTGTCTGTTTACACCTCACTGCCATCCGATCTGCTGTTTTTAGTGGATCAGATTGGAAGTAGGGGGGGTGTAAACAGACACCCTTCACTCCATAGGAGAATGGAGGTTTTGATCAGGTCCGCCTGAAAAACGGACAGGTGGATCCAATTGGAACTTCCATGTGAAAGGTGCCTAAGGTCTCAAGCACACTGAGCTCAGCTCCTCTAAACAATTTTTCTCCTGGCAGTAGAAAAGCTGCTTTGAAAACGAGGTGTTATCCATGTATTGCACACATGTTTCTCTATGCACATTATTACATTCTATTAGCCAAAATAATAGTTTATTCT